GACTGAAGCCAAAATACCACATCAAGGCCGATAACGTTGCCGATTCTTTAGATTTTTTAAAGAATCTTGAGATAGCAGATGCAACATTTCTCCACTTTAGCGGTAACATAATTCCATCTATTTGGCAAATTTTATATATCTCAGACTCAGAATTATTCAAATTTGGATACAAAGAAACACTCAATGTCAGTTTGAACATCTTCCTAATTAACAAGCTCTTTTCCGTCGAAACAAAGTTGCTATGACCTGAATAGATGTTTGTCAGATAGAGTAACGTTATATTTTTTTCATAATCTTTTTCTTTACAATTCAGACAATATGTGGTCCTGCATTAGCAAACGCCTTTACGATTAACCAATGATAGGTGCTTTTTTGCAAATTTTTGTACCACATATCCAATTGACGACGATACAATTCCGTTTCTGTTTAGCACTTCAGGGTAGATGAGACCATTTCATTTCCACCCAGAGAGCATGACATTTTCCGGGTGTAGTCTTGCTTTTGAGATGGATTCTCCTTTTTCAGTCGGGACTAACCGTTGTCGTTTTCATTGGATATGTTTGTAGAGAAACAACTTTTTTTTATCGTTGATAATACTTCTATGCAGGAAAGTTTCTACGGGTTATCTACTTTTCAGTAGGTATCTCCACTGAATTTTCGATACCTAAGGTTTAAAATGCATTTTTACAAATGAAAAAGCATTCTTAAAGATTTCATTTTAGCTTTAATTGAAGGTAAATGATTAAATTTACTATTTCTAGTAAGTAAAATATCCTGGTATATTTCAAATAGAAATTAGATAGATCGGAATCTCAACTTTTTGCTCGATTTCAGAAAATCTTCTTACAAGCGACCATTCTCTTAATGTTAAGAAATTTGTGAACAAAACAAAATTATCGGATTTAAAAATCTTTCAAAAATAAAATATATATTTGTGACAAGTTATTTGAGTAAAATTAGCAAATTTGAAGTTAAATTAATCTGATTTGAAATAAACATTACTTACTTATAGCATAAAAAAGTAATATAAAAACATTTCTTAAGGACGGGTCCTGTTTTTCTTTTATCTTTATTGACGTATCGATAACTTCCGAGGTGATGGCAACTAGTATGGATGACCAGAATTGACATAAATTTACGAAATCTAAGTCAGCGCATTGTTTGTTTTGGATGGAAGGTTAACTACCTAGTAATTTTTACAAATTAACATATTTTCAGCAATTGTTTAATATTTTATTGACTTTTAGTTACGTTTCAAGATGCTTTATGAAATTTGGGTTTTGTCTCTAGGTTTACTAACTTAAACAAAAAAAATACCCAAACTAAAATAAATACATAAAATTAAAGTATTTAATGAAATAGTAATTAAATAAGTAAAACTTACTTTTTATTTTGAAGGGATGATTTGCAAATATGTTAAAGATGAAACAGAACTGAATAATAAAGTAAAAATTGCAGGGAACCAGAAAACTCTTAAATCACGTGACCTTTTAAAGAATAATATAATTTATGGCTTACCATAATTAGAAATTGGGAACGTTTCTAATTTAAATTTTTTTATATTTAATTCTTTTGAAAATATTGTGTACAAACGATTGTTATGAGCTTTTCAATTTTTGATTCGTAAATGTAGTTTTCACTTAACAATATTAACCTAACCGCCGCTTTGAACTAATGCAGAATTTTAATCGATTTTTAATATTGTAATTTATTTAATTAAAATTAAAACAATGAAAACAATTCTTGTAAAAATTAATTATTCATTTAAAAAAAAATTCTTTTTAAGACAATAGTGTCCTTAATAAATCTTATTTAAAAAAGCAATTATAAGTTTTTCTAATTGAATAATGTAATAGTTTTATTGCATTTTATATTTTACAGTTCAGGGCAGATTTTCAGAGAAGTGTTAACTATTTTACAGAAAAAAAAAAGAAAAAAAGTATGAATTACATTCTTCAATGAGTTCTGTTTTTAACTAATAAAAAATATGGACCTAAAAATTGATTTTCTCGAAATTTCATGAAAGTGGTGGTAACATATGTAAAAATAAAATTTACTAAGATTTTCTAAAAAAATTTCAAAAGTAATTTCATTAATTTCTGACTATGACCTGAAAGTTTCATTAATATCCGACAATTATTTGATTTTTGCAAGAATTTCCAAGTCTGTGTTTTTTACCGGAAAAAGCGCTGACGAAAACAAAAATTTTTTAACCAAAATTTCGAACGTGATAGAAAGGATTAAAGTATTTTAAAAAATAATAAAAAAATACTTTGATCTTTCTTCTTAACAATAACAAACATTTTGAGATAAGACGTTGTTTTTATTAAGTTCGGGGTCTTTTTCATCAAGCTATACTGTTTTTTTTTGCGCTAAAAAGTGGCGGTACCTAACACTTACGAGCGCTGAGTAAAGTTTTGATTAAGCTGAGAAGCAGTCAGATGGTAAGAGACACACAGGACAAGTTTAGGAACTTTTTCTAATGAATGTGTTTTATGATCAACGAGTGACTTGTACTGAACTTTTTTGCTAATGCTTTTGCAGTTTACTACGGATATTCCTCAACTGGAGCTTGCAGAAGCTTAATATTTACGGAACGGATCCTGGAGAACGAGAGAAAACTTTTAGAGAAAAATTTGCTGATCGAAAATGGGCAAAATATTGTTGGCATGCTTGAATGTTTAAAGCCTAATTTCCATCGACAACTAAATATCTTCTACCTATTCTGTTGTTAAAAAGATCTTTTTTGAATTCATCCAGCGTCTGATATCGGCCTGACCGATACTCATTTCAGACCGAGTAAAATAGATACCAAGTCATCTGCAAAGAAAGAAAAAATTCCTTAGAACGTAAAAATTAATGGTTATTTTATGTGAAATATTGAAAAGCAACATCAAAGGGGTCACGTAAAAAATATAACATGACTTTTTAGGTTGAACTTAAGGTGAATAAGATGATTTTTACGCCAATTATCCAAGTAAAAAATATATTTTTACCTTGAAAATCAGTGTTCAAAAGAGTTGCTTTTTTTCGGCTCAATAACTACTATCTTAGTTTACGTATTTTAAAAGAAGGCACTAATATATATATATATATATATATATATATATATATATATGCAGAGCATAACGATCGGCGAAATGATGCTATCAGATCGACAGTTCATAGTAATTCTTCGGACATTATCCGTAAAGCGGAACAATCCACCTTTGCTTTTGAGTGCAGCTCGTGGACAAAGTCATCCTAGTGGGACGAAGGTCCCAGCGCCAACATTAACCTTCGACTGTGGCCAAGAGCCGTTCTCCCCAGACTTTGTATAAAGGTCACTCACCTCCATTGCAGTGGTAAAAGCTAAAGAGACATTTCAAGAAGGAACAGAATCCATTTCATTCAGCCAGCCCTACCCCAATAAGTGAGTACACCTCTATCAAAATGTTTTCTTCTTTGCGTGACACAAGTGTTCACTTATAACTTCTTACAGCGACATGTTGGGTATTAGAGCCCACGGATACTTGAGCCTCCGGGCTAAATGTACAGGAAAGGAGAAATCGAGCGAGGAGGGTAAAGAAAGTGGTGAGCAGGAGAGAAAGGCCAAATGCTAAATGTTTCTCTTTCCATTTGCCACTTGTCGGGTGGTGGCTATTTAAACTTAAATATACTTGACATAACGCCTACTGTTCGGGAAAACTCTAATTTCTTATTGGCCAGTCGCGACCGGCGAGTTGGCAGTGACTCGTTTTAGGAGCCGAAAGGGATACAAGTTGGGAAGGGGGATACTTTTGCAAAACTCTCAAGTGTTACTAACTTTAAACACGTATGCGTAAATGATTCGCTTACACAATCCAATTCTCGACGCACTTCAAAGTTTTTCTTACACAACTAGAAATAATATTTTGAAACTAGAATTCAGTCTGTATTCATCGGATGAACAGTTATTTTCATTTATATTATTTACATTCTGACTAATATCCTCATCATATTATTATCATCACAACGTTTCGGCTGTTGTACACCCCGGCGTTCAGGTGTCTGTAGATTTGGGTGACATTCAATGCATTTCAAACTGAACCCTTAATCTACGGGGTAGATAATTCTCGTTCTACTTTCCATATCTAAGTGCATTTAGTGCTACTCTGTTATTGCTCGTCTTGTTTCCAGTGAATATATACTAACGGCTTAAGGATTGAACTCGCAATTAATTTTCTTTTTGTACAGATAATTACTTAGAATGTTACAAGTGCTGGGCGTCGTTCAGCATTGAACTTACTACGGTACTAATGTTCTAAAAACTAATTTAGGAATTTTATGTCTGACATATACCTACAGTAGATTGAACTCATGATAGTAACCAGTGGTCTGCGATTGGAACTAGCAAAAGGCTACTTCAAGCAACTCTCTTTTTAGAACAAAAACTGACAGAGTTGTTTACCAATGGCGAAATTGTCTTATTGAAGTAACTTAATTTCGTTATAAACCACAAGTATGGAATACATAGAATCAAATGAGTAATGCCTTGTAAGAAAATCTTGTTGCTGCTTACTAAGTTTGGCACAAGGTCACACGTATAGAACCGAAGAAACTGCTCAGTAGTAACGGTGCACCAGGCTTGCTAGACATTACTCCACTCCGAGTCACTCCTATCTTTTTTGCTTAGAAGAATTTTGCTTGCGTCATGTTCGGTTTTCATCGATGGCCTCCTTGCTGTTCTTGTGCCAGATTAAGTGAAAGATAATGAATATCTATATAAAGACTTTAGTTTCTACACACTCTTAATCCACAGAAAAAGAGTTTTCTTTTTTGTGGATTAAGTGTCTTGACACTAATAAAACTTTTTCTTTCACGTTATATTCAACGAAACACACAACACACACACACACTTCGACATACATAAGTTTTCGAAAATATAATGCACATTATAATTGCAAAAAATACCCATTTCTTCTTATTAATTGCTTAATTTACGTAAATAAACCAAAATTATTTTTCCAGTTTGGATGTTACGGTAATATTACATTGCAACACCAGTTCTCGTTCTGTCATCGAAGTTAAGCAACGTTAAGACCGGTCAGTACTCAAATGAGTGAACGCTGGGGAATACCAGGTGCTGTAAGCTACGCAACAAGTTTAGCAATCTGGTGAATACAATCACGCTGATTATACTAACCTGGACTGACAGGTAACAAGACTTAGCTGGAGTTCGGTGAGTGAATAAGATGGTAAATTAAAAATAAAAGCATGATCAATATTTGTCCACTCAATCTTCCATTTTTCTCTTTAGTCCATTCCAACAACTTTCTATATTATTCAAGTCAGGAAACTGTTTTATCCAATTTTTGAAAATATTTTAAAATAATTTAAGGTCGACTTCGAATTATGGCAGCTCCCAGGTTAAGTGCCTAAATATTTTCTTGATAAAACATTTGTAGTTCTTGTTAAAACCTTTATTATATATTCACAATAGTTAGAATTGTGGGGATTTTTATATTTATTTATAATTGTCATTATTATAATATGCATTTACATTTAAACTATCATCTTCATTTTGATTGTTAAACTTGCAAAGGTTCGGACGTTGTATTCTCTGGCCTTCTTCGAGTGATAATTTAGAAATTTTGGAAGTCAATGCTTCTTATATAATAAGCCGATGAAAGATATTCGAGATATAAAAAAACAAAAAAATAGTGTTGATAGCAAGACTAATAATATTTGTTGTATAATATAAAATAGATGCCATTAGTCTTTCACACCACGAAACTAAATTCTATATTCGATGCTACTTAATACTCACCCTATTCCTGTTTTTAGCTTTTTGTTAGTTTCTTTCAAAGAATCTGGAGATATGGCTTTCTGCACCACACAAAACAAAGCCTGACAGACAATCAATATGACTATAGGCATATAATTATACATCTTTGATGTAAAGCTTATCTTTATTTGAAGTCAAATGTCGAATCATATTTTTAAGTTATGCAATTTTTAATTATCTACGCTATTTACATTGTTCGGACTGTTGTCCTCATCTTTGTTGTCATATTCATGATGTTTCGGCCGTTGTACGTTCCGACCTTCTTTAGATGATTGGAATTTCGAACTGAACACTTTATTTCGTTCACCGGGTAGATTGTTCTAGTTTCACATGCGGTGCCTCTTCCGTATGCCTCAGTTATCTCCCTTTAACTCAAGTCTCCAACTTTTTGTTCACCACTGCAGTAGCCAGGTATTGAACTCACAACTCTTTGGGTCAAGTCACTGAATCTAACCAACGCTTTTTTTATCATGTAAATATATTTCTAAAGTATTTCGCCTTGATTATTCATCCAAAAAGAAAAAGTTGTACGGACACACAAGAAAGAGTGAATAAAAGTTCAGTTTATTCAACGTTATTGTTTATCACATCCGGCATGTATATATATATGTACGCACGCACGCACACACACATATATATATATATATGCACACACACACACACACACACACACACACACACACACACACACACACACACACACACACATATATATATATATATATATATATATATGTGTGCATATATATATATGCCGGATGTGATAAACAATAACGTTGAATAAACTGAACTTTTATTCACTCTTTCTTGTGTGTCCGTACAACTTTTTTTTGGATGAATAATCATGAAATACTTTAGAAATATATATATATATATATATATATATATATATATATATATATATATATATATATATATATTATCCAACTACATCTACTGGCCTGAATATTCTGACATTTTTAATGTCAGAAATATATGCGTCCGCCGGCAGGAAGGCAACATGCATCCTCTATGGGGAAGCGTCATAGGAGATATAGGTTTGCTAACACTTTTTTTTATCGCACTTCTCACTTGTGGAACTCTCTTCCGACTTCTTACTTACCAGGCGAGTTTGATGTTCAAAAATTTAAATGCAATATCAGTTGTTACATTGTGTTATCTTCATTTCTGATCTTTTATTATTATTTGTCCTTCGTAATATATTTCTTTTTTTCAGATTCTTTCATACTCAGTAACACCTTGCGTCTTAGTGGCTTTGTTGCCTTGCTTGGAATGAAATTATCAAAAAAAAAAGAAAAAGAAAAAGTAACAAAACTATGAAAGACAATAATATCAATTTTGCTGTAGCTTCACATTTCAGCCAACCGGACGATGGTATTGATAACGTTAGACGCGCCCTTTTCTCGTCTTCATTTAAATGCCAACAAGAACGCCTGAAGTCTGAGTTAAAATACATACATATATATATGTATATATATATTTTTTTTTCCTCTCATTTCATTGTTGGAAGTGTTACCTGATGATCCGAAATCCTTTAAAAAGGATTTTGGTGAAATAAATTATTGTAATGGTACCTTAAAATGTTTGTTGTTCATTATATATATATATATATATATATATATATATATATATATATATATTGCTAATACGCAGATACATACATGTACATACAGTGAAAAATTTATGTTTGTATCATGTTACGAACATCCTGATCCGCCCATGTATACTCCTAGTTACTTAGAACGTCTTTCAGAAGAATAACGGTTAGAATTTAAGTTCTATTAATGAGTTATATCTCTGCAAGTTGGGTCCATACATGAAGACTTGTGCCAGGCTAAGTCTCGTAAACAAGCATGAAGCATACATATTGTCATAAAGTATTTTTCTTTTACAATATTTTCCTATAAGTGGCGAAAATATCGAATAATAGCGAGAAATAGATAAGCATCATTTCTTTTTTTTTTCCAGCATTGAAATGGAATAAATTTATTGTTCGTTTTACCCGTGCATCAAATGATTTATCCGCTACTTTGTTTAAAATGCGCCCCATGATCACTTTCACCTGCATTTTGGCCTTTTACCACAAAAAATCAAGCTCAATAACACACACACACACACACACACACACACACACACACACACACATATATATATATATATATATATATATATATATAAATTAAATGGTTATTTTTGTTATCTCATTCTAAACAGCTGAATGGAACGATCAAGGAAGTCAATTGTTTCAATCAAAAGTGATAATGATGTATTCTAGTAATAGCCAGACTTGTCATTAATATTAAAAGCGATATTATCTTATCGGTTTTTTATATACTGTCATAAAATCAGTGAAGCAAATGTTGGGTGTGAACAAAAACATTAGTTGTTGTGTCATTGTGGCTATGTTTCGTTGACCTAAAGCTTTGTTAATTTTGTTTAACTTTGTTTTCAACAAGTGACTAACCAGATTCGTAGACAGATTGCACACGCTTGGTGGGCGAATAGTGTAAAAAAAAAACGAAAAAAAAACCGATGCAAGGTTATTTATTTTGAGATCACTGCAATACAACGTGTGTGTGTGTGTGTGTGTGTGTGTGTGTGTGTTTTAGTTCGCGTGTCTCTGCGTAGAGGGGGATGAATAAGTCTGGAACGTAGTTAATAGGTGAATTTTCATCCGAAATTGTCATTGTTCAATCTATATGATTACAATTCATCATTGAATTAAGACAAGAATTCAGATTATGTTTGAAAATAGATATTGGTTGTGTAAAATAAATGTTATTTCATTATTAGGCTTGGTTTTAATAATGTGACTATATATATATATTTTTTTTTTTGAATAAAAGACAGACCACGTTAAGATTCCATGTAATAAGCTATTTCACCATAACCCCTTTAACAGGGTTCTGGATCATCAGACTTTACTTCCAAAAGCTGAAATGAAAAATGAAAAAGAAATTCACACGTTTTTTACGGACCTCATCAGAATACGCAAAGTTAACGAAGTGAGGAAGTGAGGTGGGAGAGAGGATATGAGTGTGTCATATGTATCATTTAGTTTCCTATTTTAACCCCAGTGTGTCGGCTGGATGTTGCTCAAATCTAACGCGTCTCGTCTCTAGATAAAGGTGGTTAAGGGGTGAGCGATAAAGGGCTACATTAAGGAAGACGCGTTACAACAGCCCCAATAAATTACACGACAGGTTTCATTCAAATTCTAGACGCTGTCAGTTCGCGTTACTTTAACGTGCATATTTGGGAGGTTAAGGTTTGATAAATATCTAAAATTTTAAAACAATCTACGAAGAAATTAATTTGAAATTCGGTGGAGTTTGGGGTATTTCCTATGAAGCAGTCGATTGGAAAGATCCATAGGCAGAACATTGAAAGAGTAATCAATTTATATTTAGTACTTTTTCCACTAAAACTTTTTATCTTATAGCTTGTTAGGTTGACATTTATTCGTTTGATTTTTGTTCATTAAGTAAACCTGTGATTGTTTTTTTTTTGATTTTTTGTTCATTAAGTAAACTCGTGGTTGTTTTTAGGCCCTTCTTTTATATTTTCTTATCTACACATGTCTTAAACCCCTATTTGTAACCACATACCTATATCGTCTTATATGCCTATGAGTTCCTATATACACCTACACACACATTCCCACGAAACGATATATGTATATTTCCATCTTTACACATATACACCTGCAGAGAGAACGCACATCCACATGTCTCCATACTTGTCTCCATGTATACTTATACTTACATATATATATATATATATATATATATACACACACAAAGACATCTGCATACCCATATATACTCATACGCACATATATATATCTACACATCCATACGTATATACATATACACATACATACACACACCCATATATGCATACGTATATACATATATATACACACACACACATATGCATACCCAATCTGCAGAATATCTATATACCCACATATGCGTTAATTTGCACTTACATATATCTCTACCTACGTATTTGTCCCTATTCTCATGTCCATCTGTGCATCCACTTATGCCTGCGTTCGAAGACTGTCTCAGTATTTAATTACATTATCTATGTCTTTACACATATAATATTACCCGATCTTTCATATTTATGGCAAAACATATAAGTACCTAACTAATTGTACATCTCCACACTCACGTATGTATGCGTATACTTGATGAGGTCCGTAAAAAACGTGTGAATTTCTTTTCATTCTTCATTTCAGCTTTTGGAAGTAAAGTCTGATGATCCAGAACCCTGTTAAAGGGGTTATGGTGAAATAGC